TCTTTCTTTTGATAAACAATTTATTTTATTTGTATTTATGCTTTCTTCTCCAATTCATCTCCGCGCAAGTAGACACATTTTGCTTAACCGAACTGCAGATTGACGTTAGGCCAGTCCCTTAGATGGGAGGGCTTTGGGGAGTGAATAATAACTATTGTAGAGTTCTCTTTACTTCCCTTGTAGGAATTTGATCATAGATTTCGATTTTCATCATGCTTTCATGTACATAATCGACTTTCTTCTTTGTTTTTTTTTTTTTTAGAAATTTTCAGTGCTTAGTGTGGAATGTAAGTTGATTATTAGGGAAACATCCAAAAGACGATGATTTTCAGCTTGCGACTGATGGAATTTTCAGCATGTATTTGATACAGTTACTGATGGAAAGATTTACTCAAGTTTCTGTATTTCTTCGTTTTTGTTTTTGTTTTCGTCTTACGCATTACGTAATTCGAAAAAGAAAAAATATTATAGGTGTTGGTGTTATTTTCTTGCCACAAACACAAGAATGGAGATAGGTAGGATTTCAGCATACAGAAATTGGGGCCAATTTGGAATTTGTGGTGCTTCAGGTGAGGATTGTGTAATTATTCTTGTGTTGCAGGCAATGAACATGTGTAGATGAGTATTACATGGTCCCTAATACAAACAAACATAAATTAAGGGAAAATGAAAGGTACCATGTTTTGCAGGGGATGCACACCTATATTGGGGTGTCTCATTATCATTATCATTAATGAAATTCACCAAAAATAGATATTAATTTGTTTTTCTAGAAAACAAAATATATTTTTAGGATATTTTGAATCTCAATTAGCCATATTTAGACCATCGGTGATGTTGTAGGTTTAGCAATTAGATATATTTTTTTTTTTCATAAATATTCTAAAAATCAGAAAAAAAAAATGACATTCTATAATATAACTATGCATTTTTTGTTAGATTATTATGATTGGTCGATCAATTTAATGATTAGGCCTCTGCATGCAATAATTTCCGTTAAACCATACATTTAGGAAATAGTAATAAACAATTTGTTAAGCAAGCATTAGTGTACGAGAACCATACTTTTAAATTGAAATGTCGTACTTTTAAAAATGACATAAATAAAAATATTGACATTTTAGCGAAGTATATGTTTAAATAATAATAATAAATGTGTTTAATTTTCTGGAGATATAATCACTGATTGGATGGCTGGCCACTTTCTGTGTACTACTACTTCCCAAGTCCTTGGACCTATTTAGTACTATGTCTTTATTTTATTAGTCAATTTTCCCACTATAAAATACGCAAATAATTACAAAATTAAATGCACATTAAATGAACATGTGTCAAAGCTTTTTAAAAATGAACATGTTTCATTACAAAATGAACATGTGTAAACATATTTACACATGTTCATTTTGTAATGCAACATGTTCATTTTAAACTGCCTTGGCACACCTTGCTAGGTGTGCCAAGGCACACGGTAGTAGCACTGTATAAAATAAGTCCCAATGTTTTTAAAATCACACTTTTTTTTAATATAATTCATAATCATTAAACATGTCACAATTTTAACAAAAAGAAAATACTTATACTATGAAATATCATATTTTTGTATTTTTTTTTTTAATTTATGACATTTTACTTAAGAAGTATGCATATTAATTGATCAAAAATTCTATGGAGCCATCGGATTGTTTTCTTATGGAGCCATCCATCACTTAATATAGTGACACCTGTCTAAATTGTATTTAATGTAGGACACGTGTTAATGCGCTATTGATGATTAAGTATGGATTGCTCCATAAGCCGAGCCATCCGATAGCTCCATAGCAAAACTGATTAATTGAATAAATATAACTGACAAACATCAACCTAATTACTATTTTTAGATTAAGGATAAATAATAATTATACATCAATGGTCTTGTAGATGGCCTACAATTCATGAATTCCAGACATAATGTGACAACTATATATAATCATAATCCTAAGTATAAAATCTTCAAATCACATCACTACATGACTAATATATTTCATTAAATATCATATTACAAGCTAGCCACAAATTTTAATATACGTATATTACAAACGATTAAAATAATAATAATAATAATAATAATAATAATAATAATAATAATAATAATA